ATAAGTCTAAACTCTAATTATTAGGCCAATTAATCCAACATTTGAATCTAATAGTCATATTTCCCTTCGTCTCCAGGTCTCCCTTTAGCCCATTAGTTGAGACTTTAGGATCTCTCTTAGTGAGTCAAAAGATCCCATTTTTTAAACCTAACTCTAGCTTTCTTTTTCTGCCAACCAGGTTTCCATACCCATGTCTTTAAGTTATCAAATAGGTCTCCTTTCATACTTGAATTAAGGGAGACCGTCTAGTCATCAATTTTTCAAAAGAGCTGGTCCATTGATAATCATTAAGTTGTTGCTCTGGTAATTCAAATCTCGGTATTTGTTCTAGTATCTTTATCTTCAATTCGGTCTGGTCTTCTTCCTCAGGTTTCTTCTGGTTTAAGTAAAAGGTCATGTCCAATTTTATAGTTATTGATTGGTTATCTAGGTTTTCAATGTGCTGTCCTTGTTGATCTTTAGCATCCTGTTTTGGTATTACTTTGCTCCACTTCTGTTACTTTTTGAGTTGTAGGTTCTTTGGTTGCAATCAGGATTTGGTTGTCAGAATTTTCAATATATTGTTGTTGTTCCTTAAAGTCCTCTGTCTTTGTATTGATTTCTCCCGCTTCTGTTGTTTTCTGAGTTGTAAGTTCTTTAGTTGGAATCTGGGTTTCAGTTTGTAGGTTCAAGCTGGCGCTCTGGATTTAATTATCTCAGTAGCTTCAAGGATTTTTTCAAGTATGAGTTTATAGTCAAGGAAAGTTTGTTGCTAGTCCCCCTCCATTTCTGAAATGTTTATAGTTCTTTAGTGGAGGCTAGTTTTTTAAGCAAGAGTTAGTGAATGTTCACCTCCACAGTTCTTAAGAGCCAGTTTCAGCTCCCAGTTGCAGCTTTTTATCTTTAGATAGTGCCAAGGACAGATCTAGGTTGTAAACAGGTCTCTTTATCAGGAATGTTCACTTGCTATACCAGGCTTCACCACAAGATGTCCCCGGTGGCCTTTAAATCCTTTTCAAAAAGGCTAGGCTTTTATCCAGTTTAGGTTCTTTTCGAGGGGGGGGTTCAAATACTTAAGATAGCCAGTTTCCGTGAAAGTAGGAACTTTTTGGGTCGCCAGATCTAAGAAGCATGTAAGTCCAATTACTAATATATTTTTCAGGGCTTTATCTCCCCTATGTAGGCAGCCGCCGCCATTTTAGAGGGTGGGAGAAAGACGTTCCCTTCCCTCTCTCCTCAGGGGGAAGCAATTTCAGAGAGCTTTTGCAGGAAAAAATACTTGGGGTAAAAAGAAGGTAGGATCTCACCCAGTTCCTCCACGGTGCTTTCAAGTGCTTAGCTGCAAGTTTGGCCTCGGCTGGAAACGGCATTAATGATGGGCCATGTGAGTGGCCGATCTTTTCTCCGTCGGTCCGAAAGCTGCTGCCCTCCACGATCAGTCGGAGGTCCTCTTCCCCACTCGTCGGCCCTTCAAGGTGACTTTCGAGCCCTTTCAGGGTCCCCCAGCAAGAGAAAACTGGAACGCGATCCAGAACCGGAAGCCAACGTGGTCATCCATTCTGATCTACTCTCTGGTCATCAGGGACTCAATGCTGGTGGACTCTGCATAATCCAAGACCTCCAGGTTGGAGACATGGTCTTGCGAACATGCCCAGATGGAGCAGCAGCAAGCGTGCATGTGAGATTTCTATTACAATTAATTTATTAAGCCTCCTGCTTAAAGTGAGGACTGACTCCAAAGGAAATCTCAGCATCAAAACTGCACTGCGGTGGCAGGGATGGCAAAGCTCACCTGCCTTGCATTGTGTCCCCAGAGAGCTCCCCCAACTCATTTAACCCTTTAATGGAAGTCTAAGGTGGAAGACTGTCTACTGGCCACTGTGGTGAACTTGTGCATCCTTTGCAGAATAAAATGACTCACATTTGTTTGATTGGATGTCAGCTGGTCAGGTTCAGGTGAGGTGTTTTTTTTACTTCCTTTGTTTAAGAAAATAACCAAAAAAATAATATATAGCCAAAAAAGGAAAATAAAGTAGTATTTAAAATTATCTATATGGGCTTTTCATACATGTATATGAAATTTTACATATAGTCATCCTTTATTTTCTCAGTCTCTCAAACCCTGGACAGGTGACATAAAAGCAACCAATTAAAAAAACCTCAGATAGTCAAACCAGAATAAAAATAACAAAAACCAAAATGAACCTGGTCATGCAGATATTCAGCAAAAAACAACTCATCCTAATTGAGCAGTGCCAAATTCTGGGCAATGCCACCTCAGACAGCAGGTGCTGTCAAGCAGGTGCACTTCCTGGGGACCCTGACAGTAGAGGTCATCGTTTCAAAGATGAGCTTGCTTACTCTTGCAGGTCTTCCAGGACAGAGAAAAGTAATCAGGCTTTATGCCTCAAAGGGAACCTCTGTATAGGTTCCCAAATATGTTGAATTGCATCCAGAAGCTCATCAGTCGTGAATGCAGTTTGCACCACAGAGGTGTCCTGTGTGCAGCGGGATCTTCCCAACCCTGGACCAGTTGTAGCCTCTAATCTTCAACTTGGGTGGAGCATGTTGCAGCTCTTCAAATGGGATCCAGGTCTCAGGAAGGGGCAATGGCACCCCGGGCAAATCTGGGTAGAAGCCATATCAGCTGTAGCTGCTGCCCATACAATCTTTGTTTTAGGACTCTTGATATTAGGAGAGCTGAAATCCCACAACCCCTCTCTCTCTTTCATTTATTAAATATTTATGCTGCCCATCTTCCCCATAAGGCAACTCTGAGCAGTTTACAGATTTTTAAAAAATAGAAAAGTAATTAAAATATTGAAATTATTCAAAATTTAAAATTATACAAAAACTAGGACTGAGAGGGATGGCATGGGGATGAGGTCTTCTCAACCACCTTCAGCTATGAGCCCCTTTCCTCTGGGCCCACTTATTACGGTAGGCTCAAAGCCTGTTCTTCCCATCCAGATCTTCACAGCCTCCAGGCAATGTTACAAGTTTTTTTTTGAACTATAAATAATAATGATCCAAAGTCAATAAAAAATGCAAGTCACCAGAAACTGGGACATTTGGTTTCTGTTTGGACCTTCATCTCCCCTCTCTAAAGCCTGCCATCTTGTAGTCTCATGAGGAGCAGCTGCCTGGAGCACTTGTGGGCAATCTCAGTTCCTCTCCTTGTCTGGCATCCCATCATTTTTAGCAGAGCCTTCTTTTTTTATTCTTTATTATATTCTAATGTTTCTTTTTCTTTGCTCTATTTTTCTGCACCTTTTTATCTTTTTTTAGTTTGTATTAGTTTTTAGGGTTGTAAACTGTAATTGTTAATAAAATTATCATTCCCATCTAACAATTTTCATCTTTTTTTCACTTCAAGCTATTTGCCAAGATCTTACTAAGTCTTCCATTTGATGCAAGCATATTAACCCAAATCCAGTACCATGTGAGGACAAATATTAAGTTTATGTTTATTTTATTGTAACATCCATTGTGAATTGGGGCTTAAAGTGTGTGGATTTATAAGGCCAACTAAGCACTGGCACTTTGAACAGTACGTAATATTTGCCACAAATAAGAAATCTCTCTTGTAACACCCGCCTGAGATGACCCCCCCCCAACCTCACAGTGGGTCATTGTGAGCTGCTTTCCCCAGACTTCCTTCTCCTCTGCCCCGTTAGTATTCCCTTGTCCCCACAAGAGTTTTGGTCTTTGCTTTTCCAAAAGGAAGCAGAAGTTCCTGCCTGCCCCTGAGGGCGGAACCTGGTCTGGCCCGGCTCCCAGTTTTCAGCTCTTTGCCCTGCTCTCCCCTCTGGGAGAGCCTTTCGCCAAAGGAGGCATGTGAGAACAGGCCTCCCTTCCTAGTGCTCGGCCACTCCATCCGTCCACCTGGCAGAAGAATGGGGCTGGAGCTCTACCTGGACCTTCTGTCCCAGCCCTGCCGGGCGGTCTACATCTTTGCCAAGAAGAACCACATTCCCTTTGAGCTGAAAAATGTGGAGCTGTTCAAAGGTAAGGAGAGCCCCCCACGGGGACATGTGGGGAGGGACTTTTCTAAGCTTGGGGTGGGATGGAGAAAGAGGGACACCTCTTGACACTCTGGGTGTCAGGGACACCTCTTGACACTCTGGGCAACAGCTGGGTGGGCCTTGCCTTCATGGGGCTCATCAGAAACAGGAGGGGATTCTCCCACATGGTGATAGGAGAGCAGCCTGAGCGGGGGGGGCAAACTGGAGGGAACGTCTTGCACTGGAAACCTTTTGCTATGGTGGTGCCTCCCTCTTGCCAGATTCCATCCTGGGGACCAAGATGCCTGGAGCAGAGGCAGAAGGGGGGGCAACAGCCCCATCAGGTAAGAGGAGCTCAGGGTTTATATGAATGGAAAACTGAGGCATGGTTTGCTTGTGCAGCTGTTTCATTGCCCTGGAATATGGCACTCTCGGATTATTTTTTCCCCAAATGGGTGGCATGAATTTCAGTTCATTCCCCAGGCAGAACTGTGAACTAGGGCACCTTTTGACTTCTCAGCAGAGGAGAGAACATGGGGGCTGTTCACTTTCAGAGTAATCGTTGAGCACCTGTTCACAAAATGTAATATTGTCAGGAATCTTCCCCTGCAGAGTTGCCTTAACCATCAGGAATCCGACAGGATCTTCCCACCAGCAGCTGCTGGAAATGCCTGCCACCATTTTCCTCCTTCGGGGTTTCAGGTGTGCATGGCGTGTCCCAACAGAGCCAGGATGACGCACCGGGGAAGGGAGGGGAGATGTAAACAACTGCCTGCCGCCAACAATTTCACTGAAACCTCTCCTGCAGCGGTGCTGTGTTCCCTGTTTGCTGTGTAAATACAGCTTGAAAGGTCCAAAGGGCCATTGAAGTTGCAGAAAGAGCTTTTTTCTGCACCCAAACTGGACGGGGTTCTCCCTCCGATAAGATAAGCGACCTGGTTCTTGTACTTTGCCTCTGTGGCTGCTCCGAGCACCTTTGAGTGTCTTATTCCGCATAGTCTTTCTGTAACTAATCCCAGTCCAGGGCATTCTGGATCTCTTGCGCCATGGCAGCTTATAAACGGATCTTTACCATCTTTGTATTGCTACCAGATGTTTACCATCTTTGCATTGCTACCAGAGATGCACAGAAATAAATAAATTACAACATTCATTATTAATTTTCCAAAGTAAACCTTCAGTGGTTTCCTCATTCCCATCTTGCTTACCTGCCCTCTCAGCTTGGGTTCCAAAGTCAGCTTGGGTTCCAAAAAACTGAGGCAGGACAGCCCCTCCACACCTATATGTTGTTCTATGTGGTGGTCTCAACATCGTTCCCTGCCCCATAATTTCCAGAAAGTGATGGGCCCCAGAGTGAGCCCTCTTCTCATCCCTATTTCTTCACTCGGGTGCCAATGCCTCAACCGGTTCCCACGGAATTTCTCTTTGGGGGCTTTCATTCTGGTGTTTCCACACATGTTGCCATCCCCAGATCAAACCTTCCTGTTTGAGCCATGAAAAGTGTGAGTCTGTGGGTAGCTACAAAGTCTGGAATACGATGCTGCACTCACATTTGTAACTTAAAAGTTGCGAGTTGATGGCTATCACTGTGCTGTCTGTTCAACCACTTCCCTGGCTGGAGAAAAGGTTGCCCCCCCCCCATCCATTTCTGATCCATATCAGATTTGCCAGAAGTATCTAATTCTGAGATTATCTAACAGCAACCACAATTTTCTAGTCAATTTCAGCTGCAGAAAGCAGAGCTCACTTTATAATCTCAGAGGGATACTTAAGTGCAATTTATTAGCAATCCATCTTTCTAGCTGTAATTCAGAGAAGACTTGGGTGGAAGGAGATTTCTGTTCTGCACTCCAGACAGACGTAGCCATGAAATAAGGAGAGGGGGTCTTCTCTGCTTTTAGCCTCTCCCAGACCTCATGGTGGAATATCTGCCTTGATTTCAAGGGTCACAGCCCAAGGAGAGTGCACGGGTGAAGAAAGTCCCTGTCTTGAAGGACGAGACCTTCGTCTTGGCAGAAGGGTAAGGAGAGTTTCCCCCACCCGTTTCTCCGTGTCTAGAGCCATGTTTGGAGAACTGTCAGAGGAGGCCCAGCAGGGAACAAAGTAGCTGGGACCATCTGCAGGTTTGGGGTCGGGGGGACACAATGGAATTACAGCTAAAGACATTAATTCTGGAAGTCTCTTCTCATTTATCCCAGATGACACCAGATAACAAGGTATTCACTCCTGAGTTAGACTGGACAGTGAGAGGGTGGGAATCCATCAGAAGTGGAGCAGTACCTGCGTACCTCTCTCTGTAGTACCTTATTTTACATGAGACATTTGGAAATGTTTTGCAGAACTTCAGTAGACCAAATGGACAACTGAAAGCCCAGAATACTTTTGCTTATCTCAGTTGTTTCATCTTTGGCAATCCTCATTCCAAAGTGCTTTAATTAGCCCCATACTCAGTTGTGTTTGCTCACCAGCTCCTCCTCTGCAGAAACTAACTCCTGCCTTTCTTTTGTGATCCTGTCCTCCTCCTTGATTTCCATGAATCTGTGGCCAGCACGGCCATCCTTTTGTATCTGAGTCGCAAGTACAACACCCCAGATCACTGGTACCCATCTGACCTGCAGAAACGAGCAAAGGTGGACGAATACCTGTCGTGGCATCAGGCTAACATCAGATCCAATGCTCCCAAGACAATGTGGATTAAGGTGAGGATTTGAGGAGGATCTGGAGATTTGGGAAGCCTCAGCTTGACCCAGAAGATTTAAGATCTGTTCCCAGTACTTGAAACCTCCAGTCTGTCTTCATGATGTAGTTTGCCCAATACTTCACTTTTTCTCCAGGTTGCTTTTACCTTTTTGCTTTCGAGATGTTGCAACTGCCTTGCTTCCCTGCTCAAGGTCTTACGAGCAGAAGCGCTCCACGGGATGGGCCAGGAGAGGAATTTCCTCCCATCTGTCTGTAAATGAGGTGGAGGCAGTTCTCCTCCTTTGAGCCCCAATGCAATGCTATCGAGGGGAAGAAAAGGATTTTCTTAAAATCCCACCAGAACAGTTTGATGCAGAATATGGTTTGCCCCAAAGGAAAGGTTGATTTTTAAAAGAAAAATACATTTTCTTAGGAAGCCAGTATTCCTAGGAAAGGATTAATTTACATTTTATCTTATTCTGAGATAATTTTCTTCACACATATTAGCAGTGATTAACAATTTCTTGCATGTAGATTCTTGCATAATCATAGCAATCAAGTACAGTTAATAGAGTATTTTTTGTAAAACAGAGAAAAAATAAACAGATTAAGATGACAAAATAGTAATTGCTACAGGCAGTTGATTAGATGTCTCTTCCCACATTCCCCCCCTCCTCCCATCTCTATCCTACTACAGACTGCCATGTGGCTCAAGGTCAAAGTTCAGCATTCACAAACACAGTAGTTTCTCATCCAAAGATGGGACCTCAGTAGATCCTTCCCTGGAACCCAGTATGTTGAAAAGGCAGCAGGCCAAAGTTGATCATCCATCTATCCATCCACTTTCAGAGGAACACCACAGTTTGTGGTGCTAAGGGCTTTCTCCTCCCTGAGACAACTCAACCTCCACAGGAGCATCCCAAGAGCAGAGCATGGGTGGCCTTCCAAAGGCTCCCATAGTTCACTATTCTGGTCCCACCAAGGCCACGGGGACATCGCAAGCAGCTCTGTCCCAAGTCTCTTTCAGTGAGGCTGCTGGGCAATGACAGCTCAGCCAGCCCCCCGTTACTTCTGCTCCTTTGGAAAGGAACAGCAGCTGGGGTCCTTGTGCCAAAGGGGGACCCTTGTCCAAGGGACGAGCTAGGGGTGCCTCTCCTGGGCAGCCAACTACCCCGAAGCTCCAGCCTGCAGCTTGCGGAGCTGAGCCCAGAGTTTTGCTGCAGAGATTGCATCCAGATAGCTGTGCAAAGGGTTTCGGATGCAGCTATGTAGAGCTCTCTAAATGCTTTCAAAAGCTGGCCAGTCCAGTTTCCAACAAGAAGTCTTGGGAGAACAAGTTCCATAGTTCACCCACTAACTGAAAAATTAGCTCCCTTCCTATTTTCCCCTCATTCAGCTTGATTGGTTACTTTTGCTACTATTTTTTTTTTATTGAAAATTTTATAAAATTTTACAATATAAATCCCCCCCTTCCCCTTCTTCCACCCCCCTCCCTCCCCCCTCACTTCCCAGTGCTAATCACAGGGTTAACATAATCATACTCTAATTAACATTAATCAACTATTAAAATAACATATCTATAACCTCCTTTAACTCTCTTTTAAACAGTACAATTATTAAAAACAATAATAACACTTTAATAATTAGAAATACTAAATAAAATATTCTAACCTTTGCACAACAATACTCTAAAATTTACTCAAAAACCAAATGATATTTTTAGTCCCATATTTACGCTCAATATAATCTATCCATCTTCTCCAAACCAAAATATAATCCTTCACATAAGCGGAAATCTTGGCCATTTCTGCTAAATTTGAGACTTTAAGTGACCATTCTTCTATAGTAGGTAAACGTTCCATTTTCCAATATTGAGCTACTAATAGTCTTGCAGCAGTTATAAAGTTCAACATCAATTCCATTTCTTTTGCATCCAAGTCTTCCATAATACCCAACAAAAATATCTGCGGCTTAAACTTTATCTTTTTCTTAAAAATATTTTGAGTATTCCACCATATCTTAATCCAAAATGCTTTAACTTCCCTACATGTCCACCAAAT